AGCCGTGTGACACACAAACTAAAGCTGAGCACAATTCAACCGGTGCCAGCGGTACAGATAGGACGTTCAAGATTGAAGCACAAATCAAAAGGATACAAATAAAATACTCTGAACAAAGGTTAACGCTCAGGCCTAGGACGAGGCTGGCTCTCAGTGCTAGTCTGAGGTTGATGCTTAGGCTTTGGCTGAGGTTCATCGCCAGCCGCGGCCGAGACTCTGGTAATGCTCAGATTCTTCGTGGATGGGTGTTTCCTTTATAAAAGATCTGCTAGGGTAAATGTCGTTGGAGGAACTGACCCAACACCGTGGACAACACCAACGCAATCAATGATGCGACGGCTCAACGCCTGTGGTCATACGAAACAGCAAGTGATTCCCATTCAAAGTTTGGAAGTTCCAGCGTCATAGATCTATGAGTCATCTTCTTGAATATTCGACTGCATGTCATTTTTCATTGAAAGGAGGCGAAATTCGAAGTAGTGAAGCGAAGTTTTTATTATATCATTAGTAAGCAATAATAACAGATAAATGGATAATAGATACAAGCCAGATCATAGCCTGGCTCAGGCTCACAACATTAATAATATTGGTACACCACTCGGTTTCAAGCAAAACTTTCCTTCGCGAACGGGAAGGAAAGTTTTGCTTGCAACCGAGTGGTGTACCAATATTATCAATATATCATTAGTGTTAAACCAAACAAATGTCACGGATATTTGATCGAATAACGAGCGCGATATGCTGGTATGAATCTTAATCGTTGGTATCGCTGGATACCAAACGGAATCAATCGAATAGCTGTGTCTTCAAGTCGAAGTAGTAAAGTCAACGTGGAATTGACTGGAAATACTTGATCGATCATGATAGTTTTTGGCGCATGTTCCAGACGGTAGCTGAAATGGTGAATTTTCTTACTGACCGATAATGTTGAAATGATCACTAACGACTAGTTTATGAATTTTATCACAATGGATCACTTATAAGTTGTAGGGAAACCGTGGTTTACAATTTCACTGGGAACACCACCTTGTAATGGTGATGTTCAGAGAAATTCGCTAGTAGTTTAATGGAGTGGCAACTGCTTTTATGGCAATATTTTTATTGTAAGGGGATGTATGTTTATTGATATTGCATCTAATTAGTGAACTTTAGCATTAAGAATTGTCACAAATCTTGCGAGAAAGGACTGACAGATCGGTCTTCAGTCAGCACCTTCTCAACGAGGCATTTCACAAACCTGAGGATTGAACCTACAGCTATTGGTACCACCGGTAGGGTCGTGACTAGTGTTTGTCAGGGGACTGGGTCTCATCTAGGACCACAACAGAAGGCAGTTGTACAACAATTTCCCTCTCAGGCTTCTGGGTCGAAGTTCACCTCCCTATCCTGACGAATTGCTTGCCTACGGGGTGCCTCTCGGCCAAAAAGTTGCTCCCCGATGAACTCCACTCATGACTGTCGGTAAAAACGATGAGGCATTTAATAATACAAACATTCCATCACGAACGGCAGCACGGCTGCACTCGTTTGTCTTTTCATCAATGAAACCGAATCCGTTATCTCTCAAATACTTCATCTTATTCGCATTTTCTCCCACAACATCGATCTGAATGAAATATGGCGGATTTTTTCGTGCAGGACCGCAGAACCAGTCGGCGTTCGATGCGACACTGCAATCAACATCAGCAATTACCTGCTAACATTTCTTCTAATATGAGGCACTAATGCATGAACACCTCTCTGAAGTTAAAAACGACCGCCTCTAAGGCACTCAACAATATGAGCCCCAATGCTCGTATCTGAAGGAATGTGGTAAAGTTTTTATGATCGAAAGAAATTAGTGTCAAGAAGTCAAATGAACCGGTAACGAGGCAAGTTGTGCGCAAAAATTCGAGTCCTAAGTAATTTTGATAGTAAATGAGGCTTCGGTCGAGGGCAAAACGAATAATCGAAAACGACTTGATTGAAAAAAACTACTATCAAAATAAATGTTGTTAAAGTGAGGTGCGAAAGATGAAGCTAATTAAGGTTTCACAACGGACACTATCAGCTTGAAGAACATTTCAATTTTGAAACGGATGAGTGCAAAAAGAGACAGTTTTAGAACCTGTGGGGCATTAAATAGCATTTGGCTA